ATTGGTAGATTAGTCAGCCGAATCGGTTCGCCGGGCGTTAAGCTTAAATAGTCCTCTATTATTCTAAGTTTTTAATGGTAAACGTCCAACATTGTTAAGACAAATATACGGGGGAAATCTATAATGTATAAAATATGGCTAACGCGTGCATCGAAAAACCGAGGTTGAGAACGTATAAATGGGCTAAAATCAAAAAATCTGCATCTTCCCCCACCCCCTACAACCCTCAACCTCCGAGTTTCAGCCTCTACAAATTTTTTTCTGGAAATGATCAGGACCCGCTGAAACGTCCAAGAACAATGTTTGGTTTTTGACTTTTTTTCGCTGACACTGGAACGATTCTCAAAAACTACAAAGCTTTTTTGTCCTTAGCATAGTAGTAACCTTGAGTGACATGGTTTTCCGTGATGTATGGACATGCGATATACAATCTAAAGAACACAATATCCCATTTTCGAAATTTTTCGCGATTGCAACACGTTCTTCCTCTGCCAGTGATGCATGGGAGGCAAAAATTAAAAAATGTCGTTTACTAGGTTAACCTTGCTCTTCAACAATCTAGACGCTCTGAGAAAAATGTTAATCAGACAGGTCCATAGGAATTCTTTCCCTGTTCTACCCGTAGAAGATTTGGCAATGTCGCCTTAACCCGGTCAGATGCGGCAGCGCGGCCAGAGGTGAGAGCATAGCCTGTAACACCAAACCCCATACTAGAACAACAGAACGCACCAAGGCCGGCATCAAGTCTTCGCGGCATTTAGAAACGCGATCCAAAGTTTTAAGACCCAATGTACGGATAAATCTATAATGTGTGAAATATATATGATAGGTGCGTAGAATTTCCAAGGTTGAGAACGAATACATAAAATTGGTATATAAATCTTCTCCATCGATACCTATTTTTTCAAAAATGATCAGGATCCTCTGAAACGTCAAAAAACAAAGTTTGAGAGATTTTCATTCTTTTTCGGTCTTGGTCTTTTTCTCTGCCGTTCAAAATCTACAAAGCTCAGTAGTAACCTAGTGTGAAAATTTGATCAAAATCCAAGCTGTACTTCTCATGCTATAGGCGGTTATAACATTAGCGGACAGACAGACAGACCGAGGGAGATGAGTGACATGGTTTTTCGTGATGTACATGTCGTATATCAATCAAAAAACATAATACGCGACAACAATTCTTTCCCGCTAGTAGTCGTGGGAAGTAAAAGGTTTACAACTGTAATATAATCCTAAGGCCAGGTTTTTCAATAGTGAGTTAACAGTAACTTATCTGCTGACCAGACGTTAACTTTCAAAAAGAGTGTTTCAACATCAAGTTTGTCCTAAAGTGGTAGTCAACTTCAACCAGAGGACCATGCATGGGATAACTGTAAAGTTGTGGTCAAACCGCAACGTCTAGCTCTAGCCTGATGTGCTTGACAGTGACATAAGTTGTCATGGATGACACGAGCTACAAATACCGAACATCACGAAACGCATAGAACACCATAATCCAAGCATAGAAACAGCGTTGCTGCATCAACAGTTTATTGATTGTTAACTACAACTTGAAAAACGAATTCACAGATTACAGATAGTTACCTTCCAAGTCATAGTTGCGTGACTTAAAAGTTTAAAAGATATTGAAAATCTGGGCGGTATAGGCTCGATTTTTCAATCGCAATTTAACTACTGGTTAGTTAACTATAACCAGGAGGTTAACTTATAGTTGACTGCAAATACGTTTTCCAAGTATTTTAACAGCGCCAGTTACTTTATTTTTAGAACGTCAATATTATTACAGAGTCTTGTAATGCCACTTGATGGCAGCCGACTGATTTCTAACCACGTTTTCTGCGACCATTGTATTTATTATAAGAAACCGTATGGGTATGAGGTATCCCAGTGATCGCAACAAATGTATATTCTGGCGATTTTAAGCACTTTTTTGTAACCAAATAAAGTAAACGAATAATGAACCATGAGAATGACAAGTGACACTCTCAAGGTTTTGAGTACGGTAAGGAAAGCGAACTTTTGATGTTCCAGAAAGATTACTTTCTTCTATTTCCGAACGCATGGAACAGGTACGTCAAACAATTACGAACGCTATAATTGTTACTGCTCGTCCTTTCTGAATAAGCTTGTATGAAATAGTTTAAATTTGAATGAAGCCTTCGAGAAGCAAGGTGAGGTTCCTCAAACATTGCTTGTACAAATGTTTAGTAGTAGAACCTATAGACGGAACTACAGAAATGGTGGTAAACAATTAAGTTCGTAAATATTTGTTAAATATCGTGTTTGCCACCTTTTTTGGCATCACTTATATAATCCGCAGCCGAAAAATAAAGGTCAGCAGTGGAGAAAATCAAGCCGGCTATTTCTGTTGCTAACTTTTATCAAAAATCGAAAGAGAACACCAAAAAAGAGAGCTTAAATTTCTCAGTAAAACCAAAAGCTTTATAGGAAGCAAAACAAAGTTGTATAGTTTCCTGGGAAGAGGAAAGTTCTGTTTCTACAATCCTTGTTGTACGATGAAATCTTGTAAGGAAATCCAAATCCAAATTCGTCACAGTAAATCGCCCGATGGTGGATTATTTTTAGCCTTCTTGCCTTTTGTCTCCTCTATGCGCATTCACGTCCTGATCCATAAACATGTTCCAGCTTTAATTAATATTTATCGATAAATTGATATAAATTTCTGAAATTTTGAATAAACGCTAAAATCTGTATCAACAAACGCCAGGTATTGCTATTTAACTACAGCCTTTCTAGTTAACTTATAGATGGTTCGTTGGTTTGCATTTAACTACCGTTTTACTATAAACATGATATCGAAAAATGCTTGTTATATATATCGATAAGTTAAGACCAAGATCGTAGTTAAAATGCGACCGGAAAACCGGGCCATAATGTCTAATTATAGGGTTTTCCATCGGATGTATCACTGTTCAATCTCAGCAGGTGCCACATCTTTCAAAGCAAATCTCATAATGATGTAACTGACTAACTCATGTGACACATCTTATTTACCACACGTAATTAAAATGAAATATATGTTCCGATTCCGAAACTATAGAAAACAAACAAAAATTCCAACCCACAATTCCGATTCGCTGAATTTGAGTCGATGCCAAAGTTTTAGCCGTGAACATGGCTCTCAGCAGGACATTTGCCATTACGTCACGGACACATTGGATTGGTAGAGAGCACACGCGTTTCAGCCAATCATAAAATATTAGTTATTCGCTACTGTCTCAAGGCGAAAGAATACTTTTATATTTATGCACATATAAATAGGTTGAAGCTGTAAAAAAATAAAATACTTTTGTTCCCTATAGTAGATGATGGAACTTATGAAGAATTGGAAAATTCCATCTTCACTACTTGACCTTTCAAACGTGCATTGTAGATTCTAGAGTCCATTTTTTTTTATAGAAGTTAAAGTTTGCTTTCGGGTCGAGCTTCGTAGAATGGAGCTGAAGCGATCCAGATCGCGACATCCGCATAGATCACAGCTTGAAAAAACAAAGTGTTTTGACATATTGATAAAAGAATACCAAATGCATGAAACTACTATTGTTGAGGAAGTTTCACTAACAAATCAAATAGTTATTTCATGAATCTAGCTTTCTCCCAGCTCTTGACAAGGAGTGTTCACGTAAAATGATGTCCTCAATGATCTGAGCTTCAATAAGCCCAAACAAATTACTTCATTGCAAAGTACGGCCACAGTGAGAAAACGCGGTCAATTTAAACCGTTCATCTGGAAAAATTTCATTATCCGTAATAATTTTTATATTTATCCTAAGCAACTAAATTATTCGGCTTAATTAAACTGAATTTTCTGAAACCAGTTTATTTGAAAGTAATATATTATCAAACCCATCTGCTTGAAAATATGAAACCATGTACCTGTTTACTTAGTTAAGGTAACTTAGTTTATGCGGAAAAGGCACATTTAAATCGTTTTAATACAAACAATTAAACTGCTTGTTTGAAACGCGATAGGCGCAGTGCCTAACTCCTTAGTTTCATTTGTGATTTTTGCGAGGAGCTTCATATTCGAATGTTTCCGTGGTGTAGTAGCCCGGAAGTACATCAATTATGGCGATCAAGTGAAACATTCAAGCATAAGGCGCTTAGTGACCAATATCCATGAATATTTCTCTGTTCTAGAAACACATTCTGTATAGGGGACTCACTGTTGACGTGATGGTATGGGAAGAAAATTCTATTATTAAGGTCAAATGACATTTATACCACACATAGACTTGATGTGCTTTTCTTTTGTATTGTATTATTTGAAAATATTCTAAATTATTTATAGTAATATCAAACCTATTCTATATGTTTGTGTCTTGTCTTATTATTAAACATAGTACAATTTTTGTATAAATGATCAAGTGGCCTTATTCATTTTCAGATACCACTTATCCTACTTTCTGAACTTAAAACAATGAGTTGCTTCTAGTGAATGGTGATATATTATAACCTGTTTCTGGACAATCAGACAACATTGGTAAAACTTGATAAAATATAAAATAAGTTCACAAGCATTGAAAATAATAAATACCGAATTCTGTTAGGCTTATAAAATTCGGAAGTTTCTATTTTGGTGCGAAAACAATATTAACTAGTTGAAATTTCTTGATATCTAATATTTGTCAGAGCACACTTATAATATACATAATTCAGTAAAATGCAATTTGGTGAACTAAATCTAAGTAAACGGTTGATTAAATTCAATTAAACGGTTTCATAGATTCAAGTAAATTGTATTATAAATCAGAGTTTGATTGAATTAATTAAGCCTGTTAACTGTCTCATGGTTAATTAAACTTTTTAATTGGTCTAATTCAAATTATAGCTGATTTGAATAATGTTTTGCTCAGTGCATTCATTAAAATTAGTTGGGTGCTCCTCATCAGCTATGAATCAAGTAACTAACATTATGAAAATATTCTTTCCTGTATCATGACAAGTCTTGCAAAATAGCACACAAAAACAGTACTTACATGTTTTTAGACCATTTATTATAATCTTCTTCCAACGATGAATGCTTGATAATCTTCTCCTCCAAATACGCCTTCTCCTCATCAACGGACATGGATTGACTGGGTGTCAATGCCTCCAACTTCTCAGAATTCTCGTTATCTTTTGCATCTTGTTTCTTTTCTTCTACTGGAGCTTGAACATCTTCGTAACTACCGTCCTTACTTGACTTTGACCTTCGCTTGAAGGACACCTTCTTCTTCATCACTGGCGAACCAAATCCACCTTTGATGCTCGACTTCAACTCAGGATCAGCAGTTGTTTCAGCTGCTGGCACTTCAGGAGGAATCGGGAGCTGAGTGATCTTCGTTTCGCTTAGGCCATCTTCAACGTCTACGACTTTTTCACCAACTTCAGCTTTCTTGTCTTTATCTTTTTTACTTCCCTCCCTTATAGAGCTGCTTTCATCTTCAGAAACTTCTTTCTCTTTACTTTCTTTTTCTCCCGCCTTTTTACTTCCTTCTCTTTTGATACCTGCCTCACCTTCAATTGATTTTGCACTTTCTTCCTTCTCTTTACCCTTTTTACTTCCCTTTCTCTTGATACTCCCATTTCCTTTCTCTTCCTCTTCGAGTGATTTTTCACTTCCATTTTCCTCTTTGACAGGATCCAACTTTTTCACTGCATCAGCTGCATCTTTCGCCAGCATTGCCAACTCAGTTTTGTCAAAGAATGTCTTGGTTTCCGACGAAGGAGTTTCAGGCAAATCTGAACTGTTGTAGTCCAAAACTTCGTCGTCAGATGGAGCTGTGAGTATGATAAGCTGTACATTACCTGAAGGGTCCTCAGGCGTTTGTAGTGAATCTGGAGTTTGAGGACTAGCAGAGGTATCCTTAGATTCATTTTTGACTTTTTTATCCTTAGATAGGTGTGAGAGCTCATCTGTTTCACCTTCTGGAGGTTTTAGAGGAATGTGGATATAAACTGGTTCAACTGGCTTACAAGGTTTCAATTCTTTTGATTTCTTCGTTGGTTCTTTAACTATAGCTTCTTTCGGTTTATCTGGCGTCTTTGATTTCTTTTTTGAGCCGGATCTCGAAAACGTATCTTTTATTTTCTCAGAAGCGTCTTTAAGTCGTTTCATGATTCCTAGTCGAGACATGCTCTTCCTGCTATAACTACTTTCTAGAGAAAGTTTCCGTTTTCTTTCAGGCTCAGCAGATTTGGATCGTCCCATCCGAGATGTTGAAGGAGTTTCTTTCTTAAATGAGCTTTTTCTAAACAGGTCGTCGAAGATATCTTGTTCAGCTGCTTTCTTTGAGTCTCCTTCTTCTACTTCTTCCTCATCTTTCGTCTCCACTTTATCGACTGCGACTGCGACTTCATCTTTAAGTACTTCAATTGCTTCTTTTTTATCCTCGCCCAACGTATCAACCACTTTGTCATCTTTGTTTTCGGATTCCTCATCTTTCAATTTAGTCATAACTCCTCGCATCACTGGCGTAGTTCTAGCCTCTGTTATTTCAGTCTCTGTAGGAATCTCTGTACCAAGTACAGTCTTTGAAACGTCTTCTTTAACTACATCTTCTTTCAAGTCTTTTGATTCCTCCTCCTTAAAATCCAAACCCTTCTTAGCATCTTGTTGGGCCTCAAGTTCTTGCAGTTGTTTTATATTTTTGATCAGTGCTTTGAAGCTACCCGCTTTCTTTTCTTCTTTTTTTGGAGCGTCCTTAGGTTCGAATTCCAAATGTGAAAATTCATCAGTTTCTCCAGGAGGGGGCTTCAAGGGTATATGGATATACTCAGGGGTTTGGTTGGTCTTAGGCGAAGGAATGGTAGACTTTTGAGTTTCTTTTTTGACTGTGGGCGGAGAGCTTTTCGACTTTTTCGGTACAGGTCGTTTGATTTTCGAAACAGGAAGGGAAATTTTAGGAACTTTGGGAACTTTGATTTTATCTTTGGTTTGTTTAAGCTTTCTAATGATCGCTGATTTTGTCTGGCTTATTCTACTATAACTACTTTCCGCAGATAGCTTTCGTTTTCGTTTCGCAGAGTCGTCCTCAACTTCCATTTTTTCTACTTTTTCTTTCTTCGGAGGAGTCCTTTCTTCCTTGTCCACATACTGGCTGATGTCGTCGGAACTTTCTCCAGAATCCATGACAAACAGTCCACCTGTAAAGAAATGTAAGCTTGTAAGTTCGTTTTACTTCCCCTGAGCGCCTTAGCGCCAGAAATTTCAGCTCGTTTTTAGAAATCTATTTAGAGGAGTTGACAATTGGGAGGATGTATGGTGTTATAAATGTTGCACTTCTGGTAATAGTGAATAAATACATGACCTATTATTAAGTTTCTGATCCACCTAATATTACGTACCGGTTAGGCGAATCCATCAATATTTACTGGTCTTTCCACCAGTGTCAGTGGATTACTGCCTAACCTCAGCAATATTTAATAAGGCCATGGTTACAGGCTCAATAAATACCACATTCAGTGATAAATACTGACTAACCAGAGTAAATACTGATAGTGTGATATTCTCTTTAGACATAATGGTCACAAATATTTTCCATGCGTTTGCCATTGAAACAGAAATCGATTTATTTTAGAAACAATAGACCCATTTTCTTGCTTAAGCAATTACATATTACTGTGGAATGCCCTAGCAGCCAGGCTACCGCATCGAGAACGTTTACCACGCATCGAGGAATATCGACCACCGTCTACTAACTTTGATGAACACTAGAGTTGTCTCGAAAAATGCTGGAACGCTTCTGGATTCGTCGATTCAAAAATACATACGCGAGTTACACCACTAGATCTATCCACGTGCAGCATTTTCATCTGAGAAAATAAATATGTGTATTCAGCTTTTACTCATTTTCCATCATAATTCAAACTTATTACTTAATAAATTTGTTTTGTCAAGTAGTTCGAAAAAAGTTTTTTTAAAACTGTTTTCTCGAAACTCCCGATATAACTCATGTGTGGAGGGCAAAGGCAGGCAGACAGTGGACGATGAGTCAGCAACAGTGCGAAAGACCATAGCCCAGTCGACATAGTCATAAAGTTTAGATAAATTAATTGCAAGTGTAATAAAAAACCCAATATCTCACTTGCAATATTGCTTTGATCGTTTTTACTTATTATAGTCTATATGGCATTATGTTCGAAAATAAAGCAGAAAAAATATACAGAGCTGCATGGGAAGTACAGAGTTAATCTACTTGTCGCAATTTTTTCAGAAAACTACAAACCTCTCTGCGTGTCCGTTTCTCGTTCCTTTTCATCATCCTTCTCAGTTTCCTTCTCATTCTCCGTACCATTCCCGTTATACTCCTCGATCACCACCGAGTTGGCAGCACTGGCAGCTCTAGACTCATCATCCGGTTCTAAAACAATCTGCAAGGTGCAGTCGATCTTCTCCATGGGCTCCGGACTGAGGCTCCCATCACGCTCAGATTCAGTCATTTCAGAAATGGTCAGGTAGGATTTGTCGCCCATGGTTGATGTGCTCTTGCCCCTTTGAAAACCAACAGAATCTAGCTATAGTTGTTTTGTTCGAGGTCTAGTGTCATGCCAAGATACATTATACAGGGTGCTTTAGAAAAATGTGGCAATATTTCTAGAGTCGTACACCCAAAAGTAGCAGACAAAGTTCTCATAAGCATAGGTAAGTTTTTGATTTATGTTTTCTGTTTAAAGTAGTTTAGAATAGCTTGCACAAATAAATCTCTTTGTAAATAAAAGACGATCTCGCAATATAGAAACTGTTTACGATTCTACCAACCATGGTATACCAAGTATTGGGATTCTTAGATTCGTCGCTCTAAGCTACAATATCAGTAGCAACACTAAGCACACCAAAAATCACATGAAAGATGTTTCTTTTTGACATGAGTCTGTTGGGTTTTAAATATAAGTAGATTGGGGTCTCAATCTCTTTAGTTGAAGATATTGAAATCTGTCACATAAACGTAGTGTTTTTTGTATTTAATGGGAATCCGTAAATAAATAACTGAATAAAGGTTTTTCAAGAGAGGCGATTTTTGTAAAAGTAAATCCCTTGTTTAATAATGCAATTCAAAAAGGTCAATTGCGAAGAAAGTAGTTTTGTTTTTCTTTCTTATGGGTCGAAATTTCCAAATTTCTATGCCACTATAGTATCAGTACTACATGCATAAAATTTTAAGTGAATATTTCAAACAACTTTGAAGATATAATGTTTTCGATTTTGGAATTATAACTTCAACATCCTGTATCTCGATTTGTGGACATTTCAGGGGCCCGTGTTTATATGAACTTTTCGTTTTATTTATTTAAGCTACTTAGTTTATGACCTACTAATATTGTCACGTTTCTCTATAAGTGCTTACTTCCATGCCGAGAATACAAAGGCCTTGTGGGTTTTGAAAATCAGTCCGATGGCGGTGGAGTCATGTGCAATAAAGTGATATTTCTCAAAACCTTCCCAAACCTCGTTTTTGGAGAGCCTCAAAGTTTTAGAGTATAAAAAAACATAACGCGTACTTCGCAATCAGTGGCAGGAGTCTCTATAATATGTTCAACTTTTCTTATACAGGGTGTTTATTACGAATGAATCATAAATTTAACAGATCGATTCTTTGAGTAATTTTAAGACAAAAAAATGGTTTATCGTAAATATCTTAAATATAATTTACCTAATTTTGTTGTAATTTAGCGGTGGTATTTATAACATTAAGAAGCTAATTTAGCCCTAACTTGATTAAATTCAGTGCCGTCCAGTGGCGTCTCGAGCGGGATCTGAACGAATAATTGTCAGAAAAAAATGTACGCCACTGACTTTTGTGCAACTTTTATTATGTTCCTTGGATTAAGCAAATAGAAATTCAACTTTCGGACCAAGTTTTTTCGTATCCTGGTTAGTTTTCGAGAAAAAAGAAAGTCCACTTAGGTAATTGCATGTCCCAGGATCTCACAAGGAATATGTGACTAATAATAAAAAATTGTAAATAACATCAACATTTAAACTAACAAATTTCACTACATTATTTTTTTTTTAATTTCAACACCCTTATCTTGAGAATGGCGAATTTGCAAACCTATGTTTACGTATAAATATATGAAGTTTTTGTCTTAAAATTACTCAAAGAATCGTCTGTTAAATTTATGGTACATACTTAATTAACACCCTGTATTCTAAACTCAACGATTTCAGACTAGGTATAAAAAGCAAGCCTACGACTTGTTTGTCTCCAAAATTTCAGTAGTCAGGATGAAAGTGCATACTACAAATGGGCTTGAAATAAGTTAATTTTTTAACAAATCTGTCATAAAATTGGTATTTTTAGTGTTATTACTTTCCACGCCTACTGGCGGGGGACTATTGTAACCGCAAAAATTAACGAAAATGTATTATTGGGCGTTATGTGACATCTACATCACCAAAAAACATGTCACTCTTTCCGTCGGTCTGTCTGACTGTCGATCTGTCCAGTGACGACAAAGGAAAATGCATAAAACAAAAACAGTAAAAACTTCGTTTCTTGACTTTCCAGAGAATCCTGATCATTTTTTAAACAAATTTTATAGGTAACAAAACTTGGGGGTGGAAATTGTGAGGGGGGTGAGGAAGATTTACCTTAATTTTTTGATGCTGGTACATTTATACCCTCCCAACATTGGTAGCTCTACGCGACTATTGTACATATTTCACACATCACAGATTTCTCTGTACATTAGCCCTATAAACTTATCCGAAGATGGATCGCGTACTTATTACTCCACTTAAATAGCCGAAACTGCCGCAAAAGTGATAACATAGCCACAAAGTTATGTCCGCTTGCATAATGGTGTAATAAATCCTTGCGAATATTGTCATAAGAGTTTGGTTTTCCGGAAATCAGCCATTTTTTGTAAAACAGCGAAAAACCAAAAAAACCTCTTTTTCGCTGAAACGGTTGAGGATATCAGGGATTTTTTTCAAGTAAATTTTTCTCAAAAAAGTTCTCTGCAATGTTTTTGCTAAATTGCTTAGTTTTCGCGCTACAGCTTGCGGGTTGCGGGGTCAAGGACGGCGTACGCATATCACCAGCCGCCGCACCGTTGACGTGGAAGATCCTTTTTTAATATTTGAGCGTCCACAGTGTCTCACTCGTAGTGATAGGCCAGTCGATTTCGAATAATAAGCTGGTTTGTAGTTGTGGCGTTCACCGACGTATGCATATTAATGAATTTTTGAAATTTATGTGTTTAAGTAGAGTACAAGATGCAGTATTTTCTCTTCAGCCGCTTACCGATTGACTGGATCAGTGAGTTATAGCATTTTCATTTAGAATTGGAACAACGACAAAAAACCTAGAGCTGCAAAAAGGGTGTGAACGTGTATATAAATGAGTGGCAATGATAAGAATACATTACAGGATGTAGAAGCCGAATGAGTCATCAAAAGACTCGTTTTCGAGGCTCCACGTTATTTTCATAATCATCCTCGCAAATCAGTTTGATCACCGGTGGTTCTTGATCTACGACCATGATAAGAGATTCAGCAGTTCTTGAGTCGCGTCTATACGTCGGGCTAACATACGCCAACGCAAATATGTAAAGAATAGACAATAGCCGATTGTGATGAGCATTTGGCGATATCTTCTTTGCACAATCGCTGTGAAAACCAATAATGATGCTCATTGGTCTAGTCCTAGTCTCATTGTATCGGTGTACGTTAGCTTGTCGTGTATACACGGCAGTATGCTCTGCTATACAACTTATTTTATATCTTATTTTTTGTGCAGCTCAGGGATTTTTTGCGTTTCCAATTATTGATAATGGAAGGGCTATAATTATGTGTGTTTACATTTCAGAGTAGAGTTAACTGAACAGAAACATAATATTAAAGAAATTGTCATCCTATCAGAATCGAAAATACACAAAATTGATGCATCTTCCGATAAATGGTTTGTACATAATTTCTTGTCTCCAATGAAATATACGGAAAAAATATTTAACTTCAATTCTAAACTGTTCACATACTTACCTCACGTATCCAGTCAATCGACAAGCTACCGAATAGAAATTACTCCACTTACTTAAACGCATAAACTTCGAAAATTAGTTCATTCGGAAAAATCGGTGAACACCGATAGCACGAAATATTCATTAAATATTTATTTAATATTTAATAATACTTTTATCTTACTTAAATATTTGATTCCTTAAATAAATATTTAATAAATGTTTGTAATATAATATTTATATTAAATATTTATTTAATATCTTTTACATATTTTAAATACAATATTTCTTTTACAATTTTCATTAAATATTTACTTTTCAATCAATGGACAATATTAGATCTCCAATATTTAGAAAATATTCATTAAATATTTTCGGCTACGGCGCATGTGCGTGTGACCTCGGGTGACCAATGGGATAATAGCAAACAGGCCTGAGGTATCCATTTTACCTTTGACTTCCACTATGATAGCGTGCTTCCTGTGTATCTCCAAGTGGTTCATTATATATAGGTTAATTAAGATAGGTTAATTTATCTGACTGATAAACATTATTGTGTCAGCTGAGTATAAAGTTATTCACAAGATCATAAATAACTAGCCTTGTGGGGTCCTTTTATGGAGGTGCATTTCAGTGGCCCAGTTGAGTAACTCACCATGCTCTGCACCAATATTGTTCCACTGCATTTTATATTCCCATAAATACACTGGAAATCAGCTTATGTATTCAATAATACTTCATAATTAGTAAGTTTGTTTTTTATCAGAGGAGTTTACTTGCAAGATGCAGAAGAGGCTTATAATGTTTTTTTAATAATATTTTTCTAGCAAATTAAACCATTATATCTAGAATGAATTTTCTTTATACACCCAATTTTATATAAGCATTCCTACATGTTTTGCTAAAATAATCAATGGAGAATATTCTATATACACTCAAAATATGTATCAGATCGATTATGAAAATCCATACATATTTACGAAAAATTTTAGATATTTTATCAAAATATAATAATAATAATAATAATAAATGGCCTTAATTCGTCACACGATTACAAAATAATTAGGTTAAAAGGAACAGTGACGAAAAGGTGGAGTGTCAGCATATGCTCTTTTTCAACCCGACCTGGAAAACATTGACACAAACTATAGAGAGAGAGAAAAATAACTTAGAATATAAACTTATCAGAGAAAGGAAACAATCAATTACCTGTGGATATGCATAAAGTAAAATTTTAGCCATCCGACTGCTTTAAACTCATCTTTAACCTTTTTTTAAAATTGCTTAGGCTATATTCTTTATACTCACTTGATAAGCAGTTATATAGTTTGGGTGCCCAGTACGAGAAACTGCGTGTGAACAATGCTGTCGAATGCCGCGGGATAAGTAAGATGAGTTTATTCCTAGAGGATCTTCGATCGTACTGGCAGAGGAGGCTTAGTTTTGTATAAAGATAATATGGCGCTTTAAGAATAAGGGTCTTATGTACCAGAGATAGGCAATGCAGTTTCCTCAACTTGTTCATCTTAAACCATCCCGATTGGCCAAAAGCGCTACTAATATGATCAAATTTACGGATTCCATAAGAAAATCTGATGCATGAGTTTTGTATCATCTGAATCCGCTCGGCATCACGTTGTAAAAGAGCAGGTCCATAAACAGAGTCACCGTAAGATAATTTTGACAGGATAAGGGACTCGCAGAGTTTAAGCTTGAGCTGCAGCATGATTTGCCAGGATTTAGTTTTAGATTGTGAGCACCAGATATGTCAAAAATAGACTGCAGATCTTGATTGATTTGATGTTGGCCAAGCATATATTCATCAGGATCGAAGCAGTTATAAAGTTGGGTATCATCGGCGTAATGATGAACGATTGAGTAGCTGGCGGTTTCATGAAAATCACATATATAAAGACCAAATAAAAGGGGATTCAAAATAGATCCTTGAGGGACACCAAAATTTCTGAATAAAGAAGTTGATATATTGTTTTCATATATGACAGACTGTGAGCGATCAGTTAAAAAGCTCTTAATCAGCGTTCAAGCCGATGATGACAGGCCAAAGTATCTAAGCTTTTTACAGAGAATATTTGGGTCAACCGTATCGAAGGCCTTGCTAAAATCAAGAAGAACTAAGCAGGACAGCTTTCCTTGATCAGCCGCGCTATAAATATTATCCGATATAGACAGGAGCGCAGTGGTGGTGCTATGTAATGGTCTGAAGTCAGATTGGGAGGTGGTCAGTAAATTATTTTGACAAACAAATGTGTGCAGCTGCTCATGTAGAGCCATTTCCAAAAGCTTAGATAAACTTGGTAAAATGCTTATAGGACCAAGATCAGAAAAACTTGAAGGATAATTAGATTTAGGCAGAGGGAGAACAAGAGCATTCTTCCAGGAAGAGGGATAAAGATTATTTGTTATACAAAAGTTAATAATGAAGGTAATATACTTGAGCAAATGCTTATGTATTATACGGATCATATCAATTGTGATGCCATCTGAGCCTTTAGCATGACTTTTGATGCGATTGATAAATTTCTCTACAGTGGCAGGGGAAACTGTCGTGAACAGAAAAGTACCACTATTCTTGACGTTTTCATATTTGTCTAAAAGGTTCAATTGAGTTAATGATTTGGTTGTTTGAGGTACGTTTAAAAAAGCACTATTTAATGAATCGAGATCCTGAAGATGTGGAGGTAGACTTATGGAGTTATGTTTAATGATATTCAAAGATCTAAGTATATTCCATGTAGTCTTCGAATTTTTATGTCTCATAACATAGTCGAGGTAGGCTTTTTTCTCTCGCCTAATAGCCCCACAAACATAATTTCTGATTTTCTTATAGAATTCCCAGGCAGCGATCGTTCCTGAACGTTTACATTTTTTATATGCGTTACTTTTTGTTCGCATCATGAGTTTTATGTTGAATGTTCGCCAAGGAGCTGGTGGCTTGGTAACTCGAATGTTTCTGACAGGAGCATGCAAGTTGAAGGTGCACAAGATATTAGAGCTCAGGAAGTCAATCATTTGATCCACATCTCTCAACGTATATATAAAATCCCAGTTTATTAAAAGTAAATCATGGTAGAAATTGTCTAGGCTAAAGGTAGAGTAATCACGATATGTCCTCAGTTTACATAGGTTGCCTATCTGCGATGCATCTACATAAAATATTAGGGCTAGATGGTCAGATATTCCATCTACGTCAACAACTTCATAACCGCTTATTATATCAACAGAGCTGACCATGAGCAAGTCTATAGCTGTCTGGCTATTGGAAGTTATACGTGTGGGCTCTTTCACTAACTGAGACAGATCAAAAGACTCAAGAAAACAGTTCAGCATAAAATATAAATATAAAATATAAAATTGATATTTAAAAATCTCTCCTCATATATTTTCTAAATATTTGGAAAAAATATCGCAAAAATATATGAATTATATATACTAAAAATATCTATAATGAATATTTCATAAATATATATTAAATATATTTATTAAATATTAAAAAATCTGTCGCTACATATATTTAACAAAAAATTTTTTTAAAAATATTTAATAAATATTTAATGCTATCGGGGACGCCAAACTGACAAGCGAGCTCCGGGTACAAAATTAAACTGGTCTATTACTGAATAACCTCCACCAAGTCTGGGTCGTCAACGCATGGACGGCAGGGCTGCCAGGCGTGGCGATTTTTAGCATTCCTGAGGCCACTTTATTTGTAATCTACTTTTGCAGATATAATAATAATAAATCGTCCTTATTTAGGGGTCGAAGTTTAGCATAACGCTACTCTGCCACTTGCCCCCCTCCCAAAAAAAAGAAAAACTGAAAAACAATACAAAAAATATAAATACATTTGATGGGTCTCAAGTTTAAAAATGTAACATATATAAGTCAAGGCTATCCAATATTTCATGAGTTAAAAGTATAAAATTGTAACAGCTATACAAAGGTATGCTATATTGGAAATATTTTTGTGTGAGGTGACAGATAAATTTTATCAAGTAATTTATATACTTCTATGTATTCAAAATAAATTTCTTCATGTCTTTTAAATTCATCATATGATAGCAATTTTGTGGATCGAGGTATAGCATTGTAAAAAATAGCGGAATAGATTAATGAACCATGAAACGAGGACCAGTGGAGCGGAACTTCTGTGCTCTAAGCACAATGGATCCGCCCCATGTGAATGAACTTATAGCTTCGTTAAGATTGCACGTGTCTAACACCCCCCCCATCCTCACACCCCCCCTCCCTTTTCAAGGAATTGTTTATTATCATATAATATTATTATTATGCCTAATCCCCATCACCCCCGCTCTTCAGTTAACAGGCAGGCTACTACCCCCTCCCCCTCCCATAAATTCATCCCAATCTCTAACGTGGCGTTTTATGGTTGACTAGTAGTTATTTCAAAGATTGGCGATTTCTGGCGATTTTCTCATCAAAACTTTGCAACCAACGTGACTGAAAACCTAGCAACCCTGGTGGACATTGCGGTGGCAGTTTGGTGGTATGCAGGAATGCAGGTACGCGCGCCCTTTTGCCCGCAATCCCCTCACCATCAAACTATCATCAAGCTGTAGCGCAAAAACTACGCATTTTAGCAAAAAAAACAGTAAAAAGATTCTAAACATCCTCAGCCGTTTCAACGAAAAAGAGGTTTTTGGGGTTTTTCGCTGTTTTACAAAAAACGGCTGGTTTCCGGAAAACCAAATTCATACAACAATATTCGGAATCCTTTATAACACCATTACGCCAGCTAAAATAACTTTGTGACTATGTTATTACTTTTGCCTCAGTTTCGGCTATTTAACTGGACTATATCGGCTGCGGCTGCTGGTGGCGTGATGAGCCCAACGCGATTAGTGTTCTGGTATGGAACCACACCCATCAGCATAGTGTTTTCTATGTACCGAGCAACCACGTCTGGCCGAGTTAGGTATCAGGGAGAAGGGACGATTCCAGATGTACAGCCGATAGCACAGGGAAAAATGTCTGTAGATTTGTATAGACCTGTTTGACTGACTTTTTTCAGAGGTTCTAGTTTGTGCTGAACATATTCCTTAATGTACTGATAAGGACGTTGCGTGGGAAGTGCAGTCAACCCACTCGACGCTATTATTTCAAGGTGCGAGTGTTTGCACATAATTGCGGTGTTAGACAAACTTCAGGACATGGTATTTTTCGCACAATTTGCAAAGCGGTCCAAGCCTAATGAAGGTAGATCTTTGCACCAGGAAGTATTATCATTATGCCGGTAGAACGTTGTCGCCTTGCTGGGGAATTTTAGTCAAATGAGTCAAAACTACGGAACTTCGGAATTTTTGGGCGCAAACAATGCAATACCATATAAACGCTTCGCTCCTTCTAATCTATTCGAATTCGTTCGTAGAACCCAACTATCATAGATCGCTGGGATTTCTGTCAACCACAAGGACAAGAGAATATAAAAACTTTTAAGACTAACAAATAGAAAAGAATATTATATATATATATATATATATATATATATATATATCTTTTTTGAGTGATGTACCTCCTTAAGCCACCTATCCTGTAGGAATCAACGTCCAAATCTTCGCTTAGGGGCTTCTTGTACAGATGTGTCCAGGGATAGCCTCCACGTCTGCGAGCCCTTTTTACGTCTTCCCAACGATAGGTCTTGATGGGAACCCTTGGGGGCTTTTTCTCTAAGAAGGGTTAGAAAGGTAAGGACTAGGTGGTTTTCCGTTTGAATGGGATGAAATATCTCAATACATTGGATATGAATCTGTGACAACCAAAACTTCATTAAGGTAATTTATATTTCTCCATCCTACACTGAGAAAACTTGGTCAATTAAACGTTCTGAAACAATTTCATTATCCGTAATAAGTTTTTGAACTTCTAAGTAACTACGAGTATAACTATACTAAGTGACATATAAATCCGAACACCCAGTTTAAATGGTTTTATTTTAATAAAAGTTGGTGAGTGTATTTATCTTACTGTAAACAACAAGTGAAAAAATTTTCAGCCTTATCAGTTGGACATTCCGGTTTTTATACTGCTTTTTTAATTCACTAACGCTCTAAAAATGAATATTTCAGCCGCAGTAAAGAATCAACGTTGGCGGATTTTGGTTCTTGACATCCTTTACGATCGGTTACGATGCCTAGAGTACGGAGACCTGTACGATTTCGTCAACTTAGTGAGTTTGATAGGGGCCGTATAGTGGGACTTCGGGAAGCTGGACTTTCTTTTCGGGCAATTGCAGTTAGAGTGCAAAGAAGTGTAGACACTGTGGTTAGGTGTTGTCAGACATGGCTTCGAGAAGGCCGTACGCAAAGAGCAATGGGCACTGGACGCCGCCGTAGAACAACAGACCGTGAAGATCGCCGCCTAAGATTATTGGCCTTAAGGGACCGTTTCTCCACTACCAGGTCCATTGCAAATGAATGGCTTGCAGAACACGGAAGACCTATTGGCATGCGAAGTGTTTACCGACGAATGAGAAGTTTCGACTTGTTTTCATACCGGCCACACTGGGTCCTCCCTTTAACTCGAGAACACCGACGTAATCGCCTTGAGTGGTGCAGACAACGGTCACTCTGGGATCAGGAATGGAACAGTATTGTCTTTAGTGACGAGTCTCGATTTTGTTTAGGCATGCACGATGGTCGTGCCAGGGTTAGAAGGCGACGTGGTGAAAGGAGGAATCCACAGTTTTTTGTTGAAAGACATGTTCATCACACTGTTGGAGTTATGGTTTGGGGTGATATAGCTTATGGTTCCAGGTCACCTTTAATCTTCATCAGAGGTAACATGAACGCGCAGCGTTATATCCACGTAGTTCTAGAACCCCATCTTTTACCCTATCTTGACACCCTGGCAGATCCAACTTTCCAACAAGATAATGCCCGACCACATGTTGGAAGAGTCACAATAGACTTCTTTCAACATAATGATGTCACATTGTTACCATGGCCACCAAGATCTCCCGACTTATCCCCAATTGAGCACGTGTGGGATATGATGGGTAGGAGATTGCTCAATTTGCAACGTCCTCCTCAGACTCTAGAAGCACTTCGAGAGGAGTTGGTGGTTGCCTGGAATGAGATACCACAGGAGGACATTGACCACCTGATCAGAAGCATGCCTAGGCGCGTTGGAGAATGCGTAGCACATCAGGGTGCATCCACACATTATTAAAGGTCAAAGGACTTTAAAGCAGTGCAATCATTTTGAAATTGTTATCATTTACCTATTATGCTTCATTAAGTACTTATACAAAATTTTATTAAAATAAAACCATTTAAACTGGGTGTTCGGATTTATATGTCACTTAGTATATATTATTCGGTTTAATTAAACTGATCTTTCTGGAACCAGTTTAATTGAAAGCAATAAACTAACTTATCTGCTTGAAAATAGCAAACCATATAGCTGTGTTATTGAACTGTTCAATTAGTTTAGGTAATATACTTTATGTAGAAAAGGTGCATTTACAATATGAATAATATAATTTTTTATTACTAATTATGATAATGTTATTAAGTATTTGTTGTTGTTGTTAGAAACTTTTCCCCACATTTCTTGTGTGGTCCAGGGATTGCAATTAGTGGACTTTTTTTCTAGAAAACTAAGCAAGATACGAAAAAAATGCTCGATACAGAAAGTTAAATTTTGGACTTTAAAAAGGCAATCATGTTAGGGATAAATTAGTTCCTTAATATTATAAATATCACCACCAAGTTACAACAAAATTAGCCAAAGGATATTTAAGATATTTACGAAAAGCCTGTATCGATAATAATGAATGAATCTTGAATTTTAGAGGCATCCCGGCCACCATAAGGAGCCAGTGCATAGGCCGCTTAAGCGGGCCCTTATGCACCTCTACAATACTTAAATCACAAGCCTCGCCCTTTTAGCGAAGTTGAGAATCGCCTTGAGTCCAAGCTCCTTTACGTCCTGAGGGTCCAAAGTAATGGACCCCAGTATAGTCTGCCTATAGTAGCTCAGAGCTTCACAGCGACACAAAACGTGCGCCGAGGTCTCTTCCTCTACTCCGCAGCGTTCGCATAAGGGATCCTCAGCCACCCCCATCACGTGCAGGTGCCGCCTTAACGTGTTATGGCCAGACAACAGTCCCACCAGCAACCTTAGGTTGGCTCTACCCAGAGATAGGCAGAAGCGTCCATCCTTAGCACTGGGCCCTTCAATGAGCTCTCGTGCCTGGCGGAGATGTCTAGAGATACTTCTCCATTTCTGAGAGTGTTGTCTTGCAACCCACGTCTCCATTTTCCTCCTAGCTTTATGCGCGGTTACTCCTAGAGCTGGCTCAGGACCAACGAGCTTGCTGGCTGATCCTGTTTTCGCCAGAGTGTCCGCCGTCTCATTGCCCCTTATCCCAGCGTGCCCCGGTACCCATATTAACGATACCGGATGCCTCGCTGCGAGGCAATCCAGAGCCTCCCTGCATTGCAATACAAGACTCGAAGTAATCTTACATGCACTTAGTGCTTTCATTGCAGCCTGGCTGTCGGATAAGATTGTTATTCTTCTCCTAGGCCCACCCTCCTCCAGAATGTGAGATACACAAGCCAGAATCGCAAAGATTTCCGCCTGGAAAATGGTGGTGTACTCACCGAGAGGCAGAGATAGCCTAGTTCTAGGTCCAGAGACCCCAGCACCTGAGCCCTCTTCGGTGACCGAGCCGTCCGTGTACCAGACCTGCCCGCTCACTTCGGAGAGTCCTCGGCTACCGGCGTCCCACTCCTCCCTCGTTGGGTACTCCACAATGAACTTGCGGTTGAAGCGATATTTAGGGGTAATACGATCACCCCTGCTTAGAAGGACGGGGTCCTCCCTATCTAATTCGACTAATATGGCAGTATGCCCCTTGACCGGATTCAAGAAAGCCCAGCTGCCCTGACTCCACAGTCGATGAGCGACTACTCTCGCTTCACCGCGGATCACCAGATCCAACGGTGGGAGATCCAACAGAGCTTCCATTGCACTCAATGGCGTTGTTCGCACTGCGCTTGTAATGCTAATACAGGCCAAACGCTGAATTTTATTGAGTTTGGCCTTAGTTGACTCAGTTCTAATGCAAGGCCACCAGACCAGGGAGCCGTACAAGAGAGATGGACGTACTATCGTCGTGTAGAGCCAGTATACCACTTTGGGTTTAAGCCCCCACCTTACACCGACAACACGTCTACAAGCCCACATCGAATTGCGAGCCTTGCTAACCTTGTGTTCCACATGCTCTCTCCAGTTCAGTTTGCAGTCCAGGATAATTCCCAGATATTTCACTGACTGGGACAAAACTAATCTAGTCCCAAAGAAGGTAGGCATGACCAGTCCGTCAAGCCTTCTTCTCCTAGTGAATAGGATCAGCTCGGTCTTTTCAGCATTAACAGAAAGATCGACTTCCCTACACCACGATTCCACGGAGCGCAGAGCGCCCTGCATAATTTCCGAGACTGTTCTACAGAAACGCCCCCTAACCACTATGCTTACGTCATCAGCATAGGCTTGCACGTAGACACCCATACTGTTGAGCCTAACGAGCAGTTCGTTCACCACGATACACCACAGTAGGGGTGACAGAACTCCACCCTGAGGGCAGCCTCTAGCTACGTTCACGCTGCAGCTTACGTTATTCAGCATAGCTGTTGTTACCCGACCCTCCAGAGTAGAGAGGACCCAATCTATTAGGATTGATCCAACCCCGTGTCTAACCAAGGCCTGTCTGATAGAGTCGGTTGTGGTGCAATTAAATGCACCTTCAATATCTAAGAAGGCCACGAGTGCCACTTCTCGCTGATCTAGAGTCTTCTCCAGCCTCCCAACCAGATTGTGTAAGGCCAGATCAGTCGATTTTCCAGCTTGGTATGCAAACTGATTTGCATGAATGACACACCTTTCCAGTGGGCCATCCCTTAGGTATCTATCAACTATCCTTTCCAGGGTCTTAAGCCTGTATCTTGAGAACGAAGAATTTGCGGACCTATATCTGAAGGGCCGGCCGGAACAACGTTGTATGTAACAAAACAGCTCAGTGGCCGAAATTAAGAAAAACAAATTAAAACCATTTTTTTCAAATGACTGCGTCTATAGTTGGCCAGCACAATAAAGAAACAATATTTATACAAGTTTATTGTAATTTAAAAATGTGATACCTATTTGGCAGCTATGGGAACCATTTTTATGGAAAACGCATGTAACAAGGTTGTATGATCGCGTTACTTACAACGTTGTTACAGGGAGGCTTTACACGACTACAACCAAAACAAGTATTTTCAGCAGTTCTATTTATTAAGGGAACCAAAGTACACAGTAACATATTTTTAATAATAAAAAACACTTTCTAAGTTCATCAACGTGTTTCGAAACCAAAGCTGAAACTTAAATAGATATAACTGGGTTGCAGTTAATTTCTCATAAAATGTTACATACTTAAGTGGAATATAATCACTCATATCCTCAAGGTTTTTTAATTTTTCATCTTTGATTGGAAGAAGGTTCTGATACATTATAGGTAATTTTTCAGATGATATGATTTCAGTGGTAAAAGTCATTGTTTCTTTTCTTTTACGATTGCTTATTGGAAATGAATTCCAGGGTTGCATAATATTTTGAGATTTTCTCATTCTCAAAGTAGCTGGAGAATCAGCGGTAAGTTGCAGCCACAATCCTTGTGTAATTTTACATTTGGGGTATTTCCATATACAACATTTCAAAGCTGTTAAATTCTCAAAGAAGGCTTGGTGCATCCATACAACTTTAAAAGAATTTTTAACTTTGGCTTTAGCAATGACATCGACTCACTGGAATGGTTCATAAACCGTAGATATTCTGTTTTGCTTACGTACATACAACGTTGTTACGCGGAAGACTGAAATGGCGCGCTATACAAATTCGCGTCACAGTGATTGATGCGAGTAAACTGGTGGGTCTATGTTGCCAACAGGTCCCAATAGGCACATACCACGTTGTTTTACGGAAATCTCATTTTATAGAAAAATGTTATATACAACGTTGTTCCGGTCGACCCTTTATTTATATGAATTTTTGTCTTAAAATTACTCAATGAATCGCCTGATAAATTTATGGTAGATACTCAATTAAGACCCTGTATACAAAATGCATTTTTTCTCAGTTCCACATATTATCAAAATAACCTTCTAAATCTAAATAAATGAATTCACTAAAACTGGGCAAACATTTTCGACTAAACTAATCAGAAAAATTCAATAAATGTAATTAGAGCAGGTGAACTCATTGTAATAGTTCATTAATTTCAATCAAATCGGTGTAATCATTCTGAGCAACCGGTTTAATAAATATAATTAATCGACTGCGTTATGTTTCAATTAAACCAGTTTCATAGATTCAATTATACTGCACAGAGTTGATTATTTTTTTGATTGACCTAATTATAATGTTAATTGGCTTAATTAATGTTTTTCTCAGTGTACGTGGATTTATTTGTTGGCTAGATCAAGCTAGATAGCACAGAGACAACCACAACATAAGCTTAACATTCTTAATTTATTTATTTCCTATTCGCAAAAGCGTCTATTTCAAAGTATGTGGGTTTTTAGAATTAAATTACATTCCATCCCTTCCAAAAGATACACAATTTCAAAATCAACACTCAGGCATAATAGAAAATATAGAAGACAAAAATAAAACAACGCCATATGTTGAATTGCTGGTGTATATACTTTTGAGGTCAGGCCCATATTTTTAGTCAGAGCTCACTTGATGTTAGACTAAGCTAAAACGTAGACAGCTATGATCTTGCGAAACCATGAAGAGATTAATTGTTATGGGAAAATGAGAAAAATAATGAGCGGTTCCATACGTATGAAGGATGTTACCGACATTTTTTTAGCAATAAATCTAGTCATTTCTACTAGTTGAACCAAACCATGTGTCCCAAAACAATCATATCTCTTTGAACAAGAATTAAGTCAAAGCAGTGCATTGCAATGTTATTGTGAAATATAGAAACTTTGCTAAAAGCTGAAAATATAATTACTGAATGTAGTTATCTCTTTAATAATAGCAAAATGAGGTCAGCCGTTTGTCTATGCCCAAAGTTCTTAAATCTGGAAAAGGTAGAAAAGAAATAAGAAGCTAGTAGAGCAGATATGAAAAGATGACGTATGTGATTTGTGATTGTTTATTTGTGTAAGTGTGATCTTGAGATGAATGAAATAAGCTGCACGCTCTAAGCACTGACAAGTCTTCTCTGTGTTGTATTCCACTAAACTAGGTCATCTCTAATATGAGCTGCTTTGATAGTACTTGAACTAAAAAATAGGTGACAGTAATTGTATAATATACTAAGTAACATAGAAAAAAGAACATCCAGTAACAATGAATGTATTACCACAATTTTTTTGTACACATATCTGCTAGGGTTAGGTAAGTAACTGATCCGAAATTCAAAAACATCCAACCGTTGAAGAAATGGAAATTAATAAACACGATATGCTCGTACTCAGGCGATCGATTTCCTCTTGAGCTATCTCATCCCAAGCTACTTCCTGGAGTCTGGGTAGGATACGGTACCCAGAGTAATATTTTTCCCTTAATGCCCAGACGTACTCAATGGGTGAAAGATCGGAAGGCCAAGGCTTTAAATCGACATGACTGTCTTCAAAATGGGCCAACGTAATTCTGGCCATATGTAGTCAGGCATTATCCTGTTGGAAAAGTGGATTGGTGAGCGTCCGTATACTTATAAGGCAAAACATGTGGTTCCTCCATATCCCATTTCTGAAGACCAGCATGGGTTTATGAATAAAAGATCTACAGTAAGCAACTTACAATATTTACCCAATTAGCTTATAATACATTTGATAGTCAAAGTCAACTAGATATCATCTATACAGATATTGCGAAAGCTTTTGATGGACTAGATCATTCAGTTCTTATGAGAACGTTGTACAGATTTGCCTTTACTAACCATTCCATAAAACTATTCTCGTCTCGCCTTACTGACCGTTGTTTGAACGTAACTTAAAATGAATGCAAGTCTCAGCAGTACTTGGCCACTTCAGGGGTGCCTCCAGGGTCAAACATGGGTCTACTCCTGTTTCTAATATTCATCTGTGACGAACTTGAATGTTGTACTTTCCTGCTCGCTGACGACTTAAAACTGTTTTGTCAAATTAACAACATTAATGATTGCAAACATCTACAACTTTCGCTCAATAAACTTCAGAGATGGTGCAGAATGAACAGACTTCAATTAAATCTCAGTAAATGCAACATTATAACATATACACGTAAGCATACCCAGTATATATTTATACTTTAGATGTAAGTTTTGAAAGATGTGATACTATTTCCGACTTGGAAGTAACATTCGACACTAGACTGAGCTTTGATCATCATATACATCAAATAATTTCTGATGCAAGCAGGTCTTTTGGTTTTATATTCAGAAATTGTAAGCTTATATTTGATACTGATGCCTTGAAAAGCTTATACTTTGCCTATGATACATCAACAGGATTGATTATTTCAATATAAACTTTTTAAAACACCTAGTATATAAAGTTGATGGATTTTATCCAGAGCGTGGATGTGACGACGGAGGTTTATTAAAAAGATTTGGGTTAGCCTTACTGATGAATCGACGTAAACGTAGTTCAACGATTCTGTATATGCTCCTGAACCACTTAATTGACTCGTCTGAGCTGTTATCCAAAATCTCCTTTTATGTTCGTAGACTTATTAGTTCTTGACAGGATCGGCTATTCTTTTGTATGCGGACAAGTTCGAACTTGCTATTTAAGTCACCAGTTAGAGTAATGTACTCAAACTCTGATGAAATTTGTAATTTGTGTGATATATTTGATTGTACTTTTAATAATCTTAAAAGTATCCTTACCATCAATATATGGTATCCACCGTCAATATGAATACAAGTTTAGTGTACCAACGGTCGTCCAAGCGGAAATTAGAGGATGCAAAATTGGCTAACTGATATGATAGCTCAATCGGTGAATTAAGGGATACACCTAAATGCCTAGAAAATTTTTGTAGTAAATTCATTGTTTCTGAGTGTTCTTTTTTCAATGTCACTTGGTATACATTAATTATTGTTGGAAGTTTATTTTTCCTATGACGTGGGGAGCTTTTTCCAATATCGATTGCACCTGGGTGTCTGTAAGAACTTCCATTGAGAATTCCGCCGCAAAGAATAATAAACCATTGAATGACATTTATGTACATTGAACGCTATGCTTCGAGTCTCGTAAGGGGACATATATCGACACAAGGTTGTTTAGTGTATATTTCTGAGAGATTAGACGACATCTGAATCTATTTTGAGAAGCTGCTCGATTACAAAATCCAAGCTAATCTTATAACACTCGAACACTGAGCGCGAATCGTAAAAAATCACTACAACCAATAAGAGCGAATGAAAAATTAGTTTTGTAGTATGGAAAAGGTGTTATGAGTATGTGAGATGATGATGCCTGTACTTTTAAGATAAATGAGAAGCTTTACCTCTACTGCGATGATTTCTTTTTATATCAGGACGATCCATTTTCGAGATAATCCGAGGGCACTTCCATGTCTAAACGTGGCTCATGAGCAACAGACCTTTTTTCAAGTTTTATGTTGTATTGTTGAGCACTGCTGGCACTGCCACCGGTGGCTCACGAACGTTCAAAGCAGATGCTTTTGTGATGGTGGTCGAACAGCCTGTCAGCCTCCAAAGCGACTGAGAAACCTGCTCTATTCTTGGACCAGCTATTTTTGTTAAGTGACGAGACTTTGCTATTCTGCTCACATGCGGCTTTGCGACTAGGTAATCGCAACCACCAACACTCACACGATATAGTCGCATCGAATTGGAGTTGAATTTGACCAAACAAACGCGGTCAAGTAGGTTAGCTCAGGTGGTATGATGAGCAAAACCATTCACACAGATTAAGACTCATTTCTACGTGTGCAACGATCCAACAAAAATGGAAAGTAGTATTATAAGCAAAATGGGAAAGATATGAAAAATATGTTTTTGTAGTAACCTTGATATATTACTAGTGCATATTTTAAAATCATTTTGATTTATACAGGGTATTCCATAACTTCGTGGCATAGCAAACATGTATTTTTAAAGTATAAATTTAAACAAATACATTTTGATAAGATCTATTTATCGCATGTTATACATGACATTTGAGGGCACATTTCTAAAATATTGACCATTATACTGGGTGTCCCAATTTCGACCTACATCTCAAAGTTGCGAAAAATGGAATGTCTCGAACTAACATACTATGGGACTTTGGGAATTAGCTACTGGGATATAAGGTGTTTTGTCTAGAAAAAACCCCCACTTCGGCAACCCCTCAGTCCGCCATTTTGAAATTTGGAGTGCTGAATTTGATATCAAATAAAACTTACACACCTCAGCTTTTATCTTATTTGTTACTCTTTCGAACTTTAATGTTTGCTCATACAGGGTGGTCAAAAACGCAAATTGTAGTTTTTCTCAAAAACTTCAATTGCACCACCCTGTATAATTGTGCAAGTTTGAATTAAATTTTTTATAAGCTTTTTTTTGATACTAGATACAAGGGTTTTTACGGCTATTTTTTCGATTATTAGCACGTCTTTTATGGACTGGCTTAATTCCCTAAAATATCGCATCATCCTTGGAAACAAATAAATCGTTGATTAGTTACAAATTGTCAAAATTAGCTTTCTGAGCATTATAATAAAAAGTTTTGAAAATGAATGTTTCTAAAGAAGAAATGGTGAATAAAGTGAGTGAAGACCCTACTTTCCTGGATCAGATTCTTTTTAGCGATGAGGCAACTTTCAACAGCATAGGTGTTGTCAACAGGCATAACATGCACTATTATGTGACGTAACACCCTTACTGGGTTAGGCAAATAGATTTCCAAAATAAATGGAGCTTGAATGTTTGTGGAGGAGCTATTGGCAGACAGGTTATCCAGCCTTTCTTTTTCAACAACAGTTTAACAGGTACAGAATACTTTTGAATTTTTGGATCGAGCATTTGCCTTTGCTTTTGGAGGACGTCAACCTGCAAACTCGGATGCATATGCACTTCCAATATGACGGCGCACCTGCGCATTATCATAATCGTGTGCGTAACTATTTGGACACCTGGAGTAACAATCGTTGGATCGGTCATGCTGGGCCTATATCTTGGCCTGCTAGATCACCAGATATGACATCGATGGACTTCTTTCTACGGGGCTACGTTAAGCAAGAGGTTTATAGATATCCACCATCTACCCCGGAAAATATGAAGGAAAGGATTAACGAAGCTTTTCTGAACATAAGGGAATAAATGCTGAGGGATGTGTAACAGTCATTTCTCCAAAGACTTCGGCTGTGGATTCAACATGGTGGAGATGTTTTCGAGCAGTTTTTGTAGATTAGGTCTTGAGTAGTAATATTTTTTTGTTTATGTTGTTGTTATAGTTGCTTTTCTCTATTACCCTTGAAGTTGATTTATACTGTTCTGATTGTTATTAGTTTTTACGTCAATTCTGTACTCTTAGTGGCAATATGGAACTAGCCCACTGTTTGTCTTTTGTTTCCATGGATGATGTGATTTTTTTCCTTAATTTTGGTGTGTTGTTCTATTAAAAACTTAATAACTCAAAATCTAGTGATTTTATCTGAATCAAACCTTATAAAAAAAAGCTTATAAAAAATTGAATCCAAACTTATACAAATATACAGTGTGATGCATTTGAAATTTTTGAGAAAAAGTACAATTGGCGTTGACCACCCTGTATCAGCAAAAATGAAAATTCGAAAAAGTAACAAATAAGATAAAATATGAGGTGTGTATGTTTTTTTTATACAAATTCTGCACTCCAAATTTCAAAATGGCGGATTGAGGGATTGGCGAAGTGGACGGTTTTTCTGGTCAACACACCTTACATCTCAGTAGCTAATTACCAAAGCCCCATAATATGTTATATCAATCTTCTTCTTTTGAATTGGTTTATCCAAATATGTAATTTCCATTTAAAAATCACAACTTCGATATGTAGGTAAAAATTGGGACACCCTGTATAAATTGCCAATATCTTAGAAATGTACCCTCAAATTTCATGTATAACATGCCATAGATTTTCCCAAAATGAGAAATATTCCGTCCACACATGGATGGGCCACCCTGTATATATATATAACAAAAAATAGGAAAATAATGGGCGAAATCCGCAAAAAGAAGGAAAGTGGATTCGAGCAGAAAATAGGGTAGGTAACCCGAGTGATACGTATTTCTGTTGGTTGGTTTCATGAGGCTCGAAATGAATGCACATAATATGTGACTACAAAAGTAGATACACATGCCCATACATCCGGATACGGGTGTAACCTGAGGAAACGAAGATGGAGAGGAAAAAAAATCACACACAGGATCCTTTGGGCTTGAACTACCACAACAAGTGGCTATAACCGGCCGCGTGGTTGTGGTTAGATGTTTCCTTGAAAATTCGAGGTCTTCTAGCCATTTTATACTACAATTTATAGGTTGGCTCTTGTGGTGGACTTCGTGTGGGATTTTTTTTCCTCTGGAGAGATGTGTTACTGCCAGCGATCGGATAGAAAGATATACTGGGCGGGGCTGAGGTGTAACGCAGTAGCGACGAAGTGTTTGCCATCTTCAGGACGTATCTGAGATGCCCACCAAACCAATCGCCTCCCGACGCATACCCTCCCGAATAAAACCTGCACAAAGAGCAACAAAATGGGCCCTGACATACGTCGGCCCCCAATCAACCTAAAATACAGGAAAAAAAATGATCGAAACCACGCAACAACACAAAATGAGGTAATAACAACATCACGATCGGAACATGAGTTATGACACGTCCAAAATCATATCAATCAATAAAAGCAAGAAAATATAACGTAAAGGTAAGATAAGGTAAACGAACGAATAAAGGTAATCAATACGAAATCATGAAGATAGAAGATAGTCGAAATAAGTAAATTAAATGAAGGAATGGATAAGTCAAATTTAGTATAACATTCAGTTGTCTCAGAATAGAACAAATTGTAGTTCCACTTGTTGATATGTGCAGACATTGTGCAGTTTTCCGCCAAGCTATCTGCCCATACCCAACAAATTGTCCACTCTGCAGGACAGAACGTAAGATAAGACAAGACAAGACAACGTTATTCAATAGTTGTACTGAACAGAGAGAGTTATCAATCGACAAGCTCCTATCCTGCTTTACATAGATAGATAGCTGAATGTGACAAGGTAAGACAAGAGTAAGCAACTTATCCCTCCAGTAAAAGACAAGGATGATAATCTTCAGTATATTGCATAACCTAAATCACCACTCAAGAATAGGAACTATCATAAAGCAAAATCCAAAAATAATTAAGACTCAATATGGCAGTGATTTACTTATCCATGCCAAGCCTAGATGATATAAAGTGTGGACACGTTATGGACTTTTACAACCGGCAGTTTTCTCGCCACGGACAAATTCTCAGGCCCAGCCCGTAAGGCCAATAGACAAGACAACATCATGGAAGAAGTAGAATAATAGAGAGTGATACAACGATATCAGTAACAGCAATTGTATTATAGGGAGTTAAACAGTAAGGTAAGTGAAAAACAATGCTAGCTATTCGGCGTCAGTAATGTCTGTGGAAGATGGATCGCAATATGGTTTCAAATCCTGAACATGCCATACGCCTTTAGGATTAGCCTGCTGGTCTTGAAGTTTATACGACCAAGAGCCAAACTTCCGTCTTAGTATAAAGGGTCCGAGGTATGTTGGTGCTAACTTGGAGCTGAAATAATTATAATAGTCGGAAAGGACTTTATTTTCACGCCAGACCTTATCTACACAATTAAAAGAAACATGACGACGACGCAGATTGTACCTGTTATCATTCCGCGTTCTCGAAGATTTTATCCTGGCCTGAACTTGTGGGTACACTTTCAAGAAACTCTCCTGACGACTTTCAAGATAAGAATTCACATCACCTTTTTGTGATGTTAACTTGACTAGATGATCACCTCCATATAGTTTATATTCTCTACCAAACAAAATAAAGTAGGGACTATACTTTGTGATTTCACTAGGCGCGGTTCTGATAGCACAAGCAATCTCATTAAGATGTTCATCCCAGGTCCTGTAATTTTCCTGGCGGACGTAAGTACGTAACATGTTCTTAGTTACTCGATTATGACACTCAGTGGGATTAGAACGAGGATTGCAATTAGCACTATAATATATTCGGGTACTATACTTTTTACACAACGCTTGGAATTCCTCAGATTTCATCTGAACTCCATTATCGCACTCCATAAAGAAGAAAGAAACTCTCAACAATTTCAACTAAGTATTTAGCTTTAGCCGATCGACAAGGAAATAAGTAAACTGATTTACTGGAGTAGTCTGAAATAACAAGGATATAGCAGGAACCTTTCCTTGAACGTGGTGAAGGTGCAATATAGTCAAGACTTAAGGCCTGAAATGGTTCCTTTTATGTCCGGGTTCGCCCATTAAACCGGCTGATGACTTCTGCTCTACTTTATTCTAGGCACAACAAGTACAGTGTTCTAGGGATTGATGCTTTTACAAATTTATAAAGTATGCCGTTCTGTGTACGCCAAAGAGGAAATTTTAGTGGGTTATCTTCAACATTCTGGACCATTTTTTAGTTCCATTTATCATTGGTAGTCGTCGGAGGAAAAGATGGATCACATCAGGCTCCAGTTCAGGATCAAAAATAGTATCTGGTTGAACCAAATGGCATCCTCCTAAATGGAAAAAGACCCCTA